TATAAAATATGTATTATAATTATATTCATTACAAAACATAATTTTTTTCTTTGTTGTAATATATAAACAACAAATTATCATAAGTATATATGAATGATTTTTGTGTTTGAATCAATATTTATATTTCTATAAATACATTTATGTATATGTAAGATATTATATGTAAAAATGTATATGTAAGATATTATATGTAAAAATGTATATGTAAGATATTTTTATACAAAAAATTGTTATAAAATATTACTTCCAACAATTTTCCATTATCATTCAACAATTTTTTGGACTATCAACATTAGTATATTTAATGTTGAAAAAACATATTAATATTTGATGATACCTTATTTATGGTATTTTTACCATATATATTTTTTTTTTCTTAATACTCTTAGTACCTTGTAATTTTTCTATATCATTTAAAACTACAAAACAGTGTCATAGAAATAGAATGTGTAAAAATCTTAATGAAATATATGCATTGCTTCTAAATAGAAATATTTTGTAAAAATAAGGCATTAGTAAGAAAAGCTGAAATATTCAAATATTCAAAAAGTGTTCAAAATAAAACAAAAACACAGAGCTGATGTATCAACTTACTAAAAGGGTGAAATATATATGTGAAATATATTGATTTTGTTCGTATATCACAATTTTTTGGACTGCAATTGCAAATGCAGGCATTAGCATAACAGCTATAATAAATATATTAAGTACCTCTATTTTCCAATTGTTAATAGGAAGTATCTAATAAAAAAAAAATATACTGTGGATAAAAGAATAAAATAAACACTATCATTTTTTATAAGTTAAATCAAATTATATTTGTATATGAATATAAAATAGGCTGAAAAATATTTCCAACTGAATTTAACTTGAATATATATTATTTTCACTATACTTAGTGCTTTGCTTTTGATTCAGAAAAAAAAGGTTATCATACTTAAGATTCTATTATTTTTGTTAATAAATATAATTTCTTGTAAAATAAATAAGCGTGAAACATAAAATAAATAATAGGCACCACTGGAAATAGTAAAAGATTAAGTTGGACTATTTTTAGTACTCATATTTGTTTTTGTATTCCATAATAAGGAATACTGGAAGACATTTACAATAATGATCATGATAAACAAAAATTTTACAAGTATTTGTAGAAATGAAAGATGATTTTGTAAAGATAATATAATAAAATTAGTAGATATTGAACACAATTGTGTATATGCAAAATAATTAAATTCTACTATAATGAATGGATGACTGGCCACTATATTATTGCATTGATGATTAATATATTGTAAACAACAATTAAATGTATTTAAATAACAAATATTGCCAGATATGTAATGATTAAGGGATTCTTTAATAGAACCCCAGAACAGCTGCTAGCATCTTCGACCTTGCCAATATGTCATGTATTCTTGATAACTCACAGTCACTTTTTCACTCTGGTATCGAGTTAACTTCAAACTACGTCTAATATCAGGAGTAACTAACCCTTTATAGCCTCCTTTATGCAGCAAGGAATCTATCGTTTCAATTTGGTTCCATCCTAAATAAGTAAAATTCTAACTTGTAAAATACTTGTGATTATTCTATAAGTACCTTTACATATTAATATGAAATTTCTATAGAATCCAGTTGTGAGCTTTAGTTTTAAATTTAGAAATACTAAAAAGATTTTAATTAAAAATACTGCAAATGTCTCATAACGTGAGAAATGAAATAATAAAAAACAATATGCAAATATTAACAATAAAAAAAATAACTATTTTTTTCTATTAGTAATCATCCTAATTAGGCAGTAATGAACTTATTGGATAAAAGAACAGATACTAATAAACTAAAACACACTAAACCATTGGACTTCAATAGATTTAAACCTACAAAATTATATTAGACAATCATCAAATATGTAAATTATTAAATGATTTGAATCATAGGATGTATATATTTATGTGATATTAATTTTCATATTAAACAAAAATCTGCTTATTATCGGATTGTAAATAATTAAATACATAAAAAAAAATATAAAATTTTCTTAAATTTATAAATCTGTATATAAAGTTTTCTGAAAATTAATATGCAAAAAGCAAATACAAACCTTGTTCTATTGCTACATCTGGTAAATATGTAGCAGTTCGTTTATTACCCTTTTCATTATGAAATTCTATACGAATTCCATGAACTCCTATTATCCAATCTAAATAATCTGCTCCATCTTCAAAATGTCGAAGTATAGAAACACTTACATGTAATCGAGGAAGTTCTTCCAATGTTATTGGATTAAACCTTGAATCCTTAAAAGCACTATAAATATTGTTATATTTAAAATATTCTTTATATTTTTATTGTCTTTAATGTAAAAATAATACCTAGTAGTAGCATATTCTCGTAATCCCATATGCAAACGCATGGCATTAAATGTACCAATGCAACCTCTCAGTCTCATATCTTTACCCATAGTCCATGTTACAAATAAAGGGCTTTAATATAAATATTAATATATTAATATTGATTCTGCTAATATACATTAGTACTTATACAAAATACATTAGTACTTATATAAAATATTACTTTCACTTATCATTAGAAATGACAAAAATAAAAAGTACAAAATGTAGTTACAAAAATTATCTTTAAAAATTGTAATTCAAGTATTTATAAATGTAATTTATATGACACTTTCAAATACTAGTCATTAAATAAAATAATTTAATAATTTTTTTTTATTTTTAATTAAATATAAATTATTTGCATACAGAAATTATTTGTAATGTTTAAAACATATTTACATTACATTTAGAGAAAAATAACCTGTGAATACAGTTAAAAACATGAAATGTAAATATTTGTAACAAAGCAATTAGAAAATAAAATACAAAAAATATTATATCAGTAAATACGTATTTTAAGATGTGAGATAAAGAAGAATTGAACAATTAATTAATAAACTAATAAACTAAGAATTCAGAAAAGTACCTAAAAGGAAAACATCTATAATACTTACAAAGCTTCATTACTGAAGTTGGGTGGTTTTGGTGGATCAAGTTGGTGCAGTTGGCAGTAAAGGACATCGAAACAATAAAAACCCATCTCAGGCTGAACTATTATCGGGTTCCGCATACGCATACCATTTTGTAAACTTACAGTATTATTACGCGGCATGCTTGTGGAATCATTTAACTTCTGCTTTTTCGTTCCACAACTAGCTGCCATAATTCCTTAGTTAATTCTTCTAACAATAAGTACAATAAATGCGATCGGTTCTGTATCGTGCATCTTGCTCATTCGTTGCTATTGCCTATCGTGAGATTGTGTACTTTTACATATTCCGCTAGATGTCTCATCATTCAAAAAAAACAGTCATTTTACTGCCCGCTATTTTTTTAATAAATGTTTTTACAATGCATTTTATTATGTATTAATAATAAAATTAATGTTTAAGAGGTACATAAATTATTATTAATATCATTAATAAATCATTAAATAAAGTTTATTTTATTATCAATTATTTTTCTAACCAATTTTAACTTTTCTAATATGCATAAATTATTATTATTAATTTCGCAGTTACATTATATAACTACATAAGTATAATTCAATAATTTTGAAAATGGAAAAGCTAAAAAATATTAAAACTTGTAATATGCAAATTAAATATAAGTGATTATTTATATAATAGAATAGGGATATGAACATGTAGTTACAATAATGGAGTAATGAAATTTGATAATATATTTTTATTCAATTGTTCCAATTCTTTCTATTCATTCAATTGTGAACTTATCATTTTTTATGACCATGTATGGATACATTTATTTAAAAATAATCTTTCACTAAGCATAATATATTTTATTTATTAAAATATTTTAAAATTATAGAAAAAAATGCTCTTTCAATAATTACAATATAAAATATTAAATTTTTTTAATTATAATTGCAAATATTTTTGTAACAAGTTATAATTTAGTGTTGTTTAAAATGAATTTTAAGAGAAAAATTAGATTTCAATATTACTTGCATATGAAAAATTTATTGCGTATATGAAAACAACAAACTTATATGCCTTATATAACATTATATGTTTTGTATTACATTAATGCATAAACATTAATTCAACGTAAATATAAAAAATGTACATTTTTTAATTGCTTGTTTTTATAAACAGTAGTATTAAATTTGTTCACACTGAATGCACATTTTATTTTCAATTAAGGAATTAAAATGTTCTATTGTCACAAATCGAGCACATGCAATTAGTTTTCAAATACTAGATATTATTTAATTTTAAGTATATGACTGGCAGTTAATTGGACATCACTGAATGCTGAATTATGTATGTTTAATGAATAATGAAAATATACCAGAAGTTTAATAAACTTTTAAAAAATTTTTTAAATAAAATAATTGTAATTAACAAAATCTTTGTCCATTAATATGTGATAACAAAAACAACTTTGATATAATAAAAGTAGCAATTAATAAATTGGCAGTATATAGAACTAATTAAATGAAGGTTAGTAAATAAAAAAGTAAAAATATCAACACGTGGAAGAACAAATTTTACTATTGATCAGATATATGTTTCATTGAATCATTTTAACGTGTTATAATTATATGTTGTTTTAACAAAAACAAAGTAATAAGATATTGAAGTAATAAGAATTATGTTACAGAAAGCAATAGTAACTCGTATTTTATGAGCCACAAAATATTAAAGTTGCAATGAGATCATCACATTTTCCTCTACAACTATAGTACAATTATTATTAACGCGTTTCAATAGTCATAATGCAGTCCATTGCTTATTTACAGTAGAGATCTCATTCCATCATTTTCATCACACTACATCTTTTTAGCAATATTTTTAAAATTTTGTAAAATTAACAATAATTTTCAGATAAACATCTATTGTTAATTTAGTTGATCATAGCTAATATTAGTTACATGTGTTTATCCTTTGCTGTAATAAAACTCTGGACTATAATATAACTACAATTATTAAATTTCATTGTACAAATGGTATAAAAAGTTGAAATAGGATATTATCAAAATCATTTGGAAAATTTTAATATACCAATTTAAATAAACATTTGCACGTAACAGAACAAAATTTGTATATTTATATCATCAGTACAATGAAATTTAAATTAAGCTAAAAATTAGTACTTACACATATATTATTTATGAATTAACCACGAGAAAAACACAACAATAAGAAAGTTTCTATCTTCCTTTGCGAGTAATTTAGAAGAATATAATATATAGTTTTAATCAATTATCTAATTCATATTAGATGAATCTTCTATACAAATTTCTTATAACTTTTGATAAATAATAATACAAAAGTTATGCAGAAAATAATAACCATATACAATATATGAATCAATAGAACATCATTAGAAGAAATATTATCAATAGAAAATCTAATGTTTTTCACTCTTCACTTATGTCTTTATCTAAAAATGATACTCTATATATTTTATAATATACGAATAATAGAAACATTTTCGCGTGAATTTGTACATTAAACCTTGTGAAGCAGGCAGTGAATCGCAGGCAGCATCACTGTGCTATAAAGTTGTTCATGTCACTCGTATACTGCAGACATAAATACAAATGGACACTCAATAAGTATGATGGCAGAAGTAATTGCACATTATATATAATCTCTATTTGTTGATTTTAAAATATTTATTCTATGGACTGAATCATGTTACTTAATTTATGAACGTATTAAAGCACATGAGAATAGGCATTTATATTATAGTACAGATTTTAAAATCCAAATATCTAACATAGTTTTATCAATAATTATAAATATTGAAGTTAAAAGTTAATGCACCTTCCAATATGCATATATATTTTACGATTATACCAATTATTAAGTAAATAATATTAACTGTAATATGTAAGAAATAAGACAGTGCCATCATACACAAAATGCTATCATCCTCAAGGAGGACTATGTGGTATCATAAAGGGAAAACTGTGTATGCAGAAACATACAAAGTATAGTAGGCACCATTTTAAACAATGAAACATTGCAAACAATAGTCGCCTCCAATGTCATTTTCGTTTACGAATTCCGCGATCAGCAGATTCTTGTGATGAAAAACGATGAACACGAGGAGGAGGATGAAAATGAGAATGTGGTGGAGGATAAGATGAATTTGTTTGATCCCACCAAAATGATGAGTAATCCCATATAGGTAACATAACTGGAGAAATAGGGGGTATTGGAAGAGGATGAATAAATGCAGGGTGATTACGTTGCGCCATTACAAATCCATGTTCCTGACTGGCTATATAAGAATTGTATTGAGTACTATTGTATAGTACGTGGGAAGTATGAGATGTATTAGCATTATAATGAATTGCAACAGAATTTTGTGGCAATTGGGGTCCTTGACTAGGACCCCAAGCCAGCTGCTAGCATCTTCGACTATGCCAATGTGTCATATAATCCTGATAGCTTACAGTAACTTTTTCACTCTGATATCGTGTTAGCTTGACACTACGTCTAATATCTGGAGTGACTAGTCCTTTATAACCACCTTTATGCAATAGTGAATCTATTGTTTGTATCTGGTCCCATCCTAAAAACAATAAACTCTGTTTTCAAAACACATATATATTTTATTTATGACAAAGAATTTTTTATTATATAATATGGTATAAACTATATAATGGTATAAAACTATATAATCCATATAATCCATATAATATGGTATAAACTATATAATGGTATAAAACTATATAATCCAAAATAATAAAACACAAAAGAATTACAAACCTTGTTCTGTTGCAACATCAGGTAAATAGGTAGCAGTTCTTTTATTACCCTTCTCATTATGGAATTCTATACGAATCCCATGAACACCTACTTCCCAATCTAAATAATCAACACCATCTTCAAAATGTCTTAGAATTGAAACACTTACATGCAAACGTGGTAGTTCATCCCTTGTGATGGGATTAAAACGTGAATCTTTAAATGCACTTTAAGAAATTTTTAATGTTTTTAAAAATATAGAACAATATTTTATGTAAAATAAAAATATAAAATAATTACCTGGTTGTTGCATATTCTCTAAGTCCAGCATGTAACTGCATTGCATTAAATGTACCGATGCAGCCTCTTAACCTCATATCTTTCCCAATAGTCCATGTTACAAATAATGGGCTATGAAATATAAATAAGCAATTATTAAACATATAACATTTCATATATGATTTATAAATAAGTATTATTTTAAGCAAAATATATAAATTGTAATAAGTTAATAATTTAAGAAAATGTTTTCTTTACAAGATAAGCTTCTTTTTTTTATATAATAAGAAATATGTTGCAAATAATCTAAATGCTTACAAAGTTCTATATATAAATATATAACTGTGTAATATATGTGTGTGTGTGTGTGTGTATTTATATTATGTTCTATATACATTTCTATATATATTCAATATTTATTTTCTTATAAATAGATTATGAGAATATAAATAAATAATAATAATATATTTCAAATGTAATAACTGATATTGATTTCTACGTAAACAACAAATTTTTATAATTAAACATGCATCTTGTATCTTGTTGGGATGCATCAAATTATAACAAAGAAACAAGGTGAAGGCATAGGAACACAACAGAACAGGAAAGAGAAAGCAGCTGATGGTATAGGCACGTAAGATAAAGATGACCATATAAAAGAAAAAGACGACAATATGAAAGAAGGATCAGAAAATTAAAAAAAATGTAAAATGACAATAAATATCATTGCTTACAATGCTTCGTTACTGAAGTTGGGCGATTTTGGAGGGTCGAGTTGATGCAATTGGCAATAAAGAACATCGAAACAAAAGAAGCCCATCTCAGGCTTCACTATTACACTGTTTCTTATTTGCGTGCCATTTTGTAACACCAAACCATTGCAAGGAACACTCGATGAATTGTTTAGCTTCTGCTTTTTCGTTCCACAACAACCTGCAGCCATGTTTTCTTAGTCGATTCCTTGAACAGTTGCAACTACTGCAGATACGATCGGTCCTCGACCCACACGACTACCATTCTTCTCTCTGCTGTCGCGGGCTCGATCGCGCGCGCGTTCCGTTAGATGTCCTCATACTCGTGGAAACAGCTGTTTCATTATCTACCATTTGTTGAAAGCGCGGCATCGAACGGTGAAACTTGAAAATCGGCGGTTCTTTTTATTGTCGATTTATTTGTGAGGATTAATAAATTAAAATTGAAATTAATCGATCAGAAGAAACAGAAAATGGGAACGGTACGCAAGAAACGAAACAATTTACAAGAATAAGTACGTTTAGGCGATCGTATTTGAATATTTTGTCGCACGATACAATGGCAGTTATAAATTTCGAAGAAAGAATCTGATAGACACTCTTGGTAATATCATTGAAATGCATAAATAAAAGATTATTATTTAATTACATTATATCCAAAAGTAATCAATGCATAATAATCATAATTTAATATCACATAATTGTTTATTTTTCAGATGGAAGCAATCTTACATCACGATATTATATAAATATTGTTTTATTTTATATGATATGAATGATACGCGGTAGTTGGAATATCGTTTGTTTTGGTTAGGTTTGAAATGAAAAGCACTTGTGAGATAAGTGTGAATAGTGAATACAATTGTTTGAAGAAGAAACTATGCCGAGGGCGCCGACTTTTCTAACCTCTTACCTGGCACCTGTTCACGATGCACCGAAGAAGCCCAAGGCGTGACAGCAGATTCAA